TCCCATACGTGCTCCGACCAGGGACCGAACCTGCAACCCAGGCATGAGCCCTGACCAGGAATCAAACCCACAACCTTTCAGTTTATGAGACAATCCTCCAACTAAGCCACATCAGCCAGGGCAAAAATCACTGTTGCTATTTTTTGCTTATATCCTTTCAGTCTTTTTTTTTTTTTAGTGGTAATCTATATACTGCAAAAGGTTTAAAACAAAACAAAACACAAACTGTTTTGAAACATCTTTTGGACCCTGGAGCCAGATGTCCTGGTTCAAATTCCAGCCAGCTACTTAACATCTGTGTGTCTTATGGCAAGTTACTTACCCTCTCTGTGCCCCATTTGCCTTACCCTTAAAAGGGGGGAGTGAGCACACACCTCACAGGTTGCTAAGACGATGAGTTACTGTGGAGAAAGCACTGAGGCCTGTGCCCGGCACATGGCAAATGCCACGGAAGGGCGAGCTGTCATCGCCATTATTATGACATTATCGGTACACAAGGGGACATCTGTTCAGGTGCAGCAACAGCTTCGGCAGCAGGATCCGCAGCTGCCTGGGGTTCCCTGGTCTGAATGCATTCCCGTCGGGTTAACCTCCTCTCCAGCCAGGCACTGAGATGAGTATTTCTGGGTTCCTTTTATCTTCTATCAACCACTGCGGGATAAACGCCCTGGAACCAATATGTCTGCACACATCCTTATCTGTCCCCCAAAAATCCAGCTGCCGAGTCACAGACCACACACATATTTAAGCTGTTGATGCCACCTTGCCCTTCATAAAAGTCACACCCCTGACCCTCGGCCTGCTGGTCACCCACACACCGCTCACCAGTGGCCCTGGGTGCACTCAGTGACCACTCCCCCCTCCCCTCCTCCAGCCGGGCATCTCACCTGTGCACCCCATGCCTCCATCGCCACGCCCCGGTGAAGCAGTCAAGCTTACTGACATGCGAGAACTGGAGATAAGGGTTAGAGGTCTGGTCGCCCGCCTCCTGCGGTAAGTCTACGCCTCCCTTTCCCCCACGTGCCCAGTGTGGGTCCACACCCCCGGCACCGATCAGGTGCCTTTTCTTTTTTTTTTTTTTTTAAAGCATTCATTTTTTTTTAAATTTTATTTATTTATTTTTAGGGAGGGAAGCGACGGGGGAGAGAGAAACAGAGAGAGAGAGAGAGAGAGAAACATCAATGTGTGGTTGCTGGGGGTTATGGCCTGCAACCCAGGAATGTACCCTAGCCGGGAATCGAACCTGGGACACTTTGGTTCCCAGCCCGCGCTCAATCCACTGAGCTACGCCAGCCAGGGCTTCAGGTGCCTTTTCAACGCAGTCGCGAGGTTGTGCGAGACGACACGCCGCTCCATGCGCTACGACGACACCAACATTCCAGACCGAGAAGTTTTGCTTTTTAGTCCACATCAAGTGTATTTTTAAAAATGTCCAGCAGCCCATACCGAGGCCCCCAAGGGACCGTTTCAGAGCCCAGCCCGCCATTGGAGAGCGCCCTCTGACTCCCCACCACTGGGGAGACGTGCAGTTCGGGTGCAAACGCACAAAACTCCCCATCTGCCTGCTTGCTGACGAGCGCCCCACTTCCCCACATCACCCCGGGAAATACAAAGGCACCTGCCACGGGGGGTGGGGGGAGAGGTGCAGGTAGAAGAGGGTACAAGGGTGACAAATGGTAATGAAAAAATACAATAAAAGTAAACTACTAAAAAAAAAAAACACCCGCTACGAAGGCGCCAAGCGTCTGCCCTCTGAGGACGGCAGCAAGCGTGTGTGGGTGGGACCGCGCTGGGCTCCTTCCCGCGACGCTCAGGACGTAGGACCGTGATTCCCACTGAACCGGCGAGGAGACTCAGCCTCAGAGACGTCAGGGGCTTGCTCAGGAGCTGACCCTGAAGCTCACACCCTCTGATTCCCAAATCCCTGCCCGGCCTGAGCCTGCAAGACCCTGCAAGGAGTCTGGGAGACGCATTAGTCGCCTTCACCCCTGCAGCCACCCCGGACAGCCCCCTGCCACCTGCCCTCTTCTCTCCAGAACAACAAGACACGCTCGGGCGAGGCAGGACCACTCCTGGGCATCCTTCCAGCTCCGTCTGTGAGGGGCACCTGGCTTTGCCCACCTGGTGTCGGAGCTGTGGATGGCCGGCCAGCAGGACCCACCACCAGCTGTCATGCCCACCCTGCCCATTAGATGGGAACCTGAGGCCCAAGCAGGGTCCCTCAGAGACTCTCAGGGAGGCCTGGGTTGTGCGGGAACTCAGAGGAGAAGCTGGGACATCCCGGAGGAGGGGCACCAGGTGACGGGAGTACAGTGGGACGGGGAGGCTGCAGGGCACTGAGGTGGCAGCCTGGGGACAACAGCCCCACCACCGTCACTCGCTGACCGCGGGCCTGACACTGCACTCAACACTTAACACTCTTGCTTCTGCTGCTGAGGGGCGTGACCTGGCGGGAACCACGGTGACCCCGTGTTACAGAAGAGGAAAGCCAAGGGCAGAGCAGCTATGAGAACAGCCCGAAGCCACGCAGTTGCAACTCAACTCATGAGAGGACCCCGGGGGGTGGGGGGTGGGGGCTCAGCCTGCAGGTGTGAAACCCAGCTCCACCTCTTCTCCGCAGTAGGAGGTGAGGAAGGGACTGACCTCATCCGTAAAACCCACACGATAATAAAACGGAAGAATGTGAAAACTATCAACAGCTGAGTAAACACGAGCTTTGAAAAAAAAGGTCCAGCAAAACAATTTTCTGAGGTCGGCACAAGGGCAGGGAATTGGTGATCTTTAAGAAATTATCCTGGAGACAGCTGACGGGAGTGGGGCATGTGAGCCTGGACCCAGGGAGCAATTATTGAGCACCTGCTGTATGCCACCACGCTACACTGGCCACCACCCTGACGGTGACCTGTTATCATCCGATGGGAAATACGGGCCGAACCCTTGCAAACGCACATAAGCAGGGATAAAGCTGGGTGGGGAGAGATCCACACTCCCTAGTGGCCAACCAGACAGGGCAGGGGGAGTTCTCCATTACAAGGACAGCCAAGACCCAGGAACCAGAGGAGAGATGACGCCGGAGAAGTGTGGGCCCCGACCAGGCAGGTGGGTCACCGGTGCCATCTCAGTGAGCCATTCCAGCTCTCGGAGGGAGGGGTCGACAGTCTCTAAGATGAGAAAACTGAAGTCCGAGGGATTGAGAAACCTGTCTGAAACCACACAGCTGGCCGCAGTGAGGCCGGACTTGAACCCAGACCTGGGGGGAAGGGCAGGGCAGAGGACAGCAGGGAGCTAGAGACAGGGGGAAGGCTGCAAAGACCACAAGACAGCAACTGAGAACATGCACTGTCTCCCAGGGCAACTGAGATCAACGACAGTGACCGAGGGGGGTCCGTTCAGCTGGCTGAAGGCTTAAAGCGTCTGCCAGAGCCGTGTGATGAGGGAGGGGAGGCCCTGGCCTCTGTACCCACAGGATGAGGGTCCCCACACTGAATGGGGGCCCCGAAGCCTGGACCCCCACTGGAGCCTCGCACACGTCTCCTGAGAGAGCGTCCCCACTTCAGTCCTCTGGGGCAGGAAGAGGCGCAGGGGAAGGATACAGGAGTCTGTCCCCAGCGCGAGGCTCTGAAACCCCACGGGGCTGGGAAAACTTTCCCTTCGGGGGTGAGCCAGTTCCCCTTGGAGTCAGGCGGACAGGCGGCCTCAGGTGAGCTCTGACAAGCCAGCAAGGGGTTGAAGGGGCTGCCATCCCCCGTGGCCAACTGGGCTCGGATCTGGAACAGCCCCCTGACCTCGCTTCCCCTCTCTGGGAGGCAGCCACGGAGCCAAGGAGCAGCCAGATCTTGCTGCTTTAACAGGCACTCACAACCTGAAACCTCACCAGACCTAACCCCGCAACACACACACACACACACACACACACACACACACTCTCTCTCTCTCACACACATGCTCCAGGCCCTCTGGTCTCCACTTCACTCCCAGTTCAAGCCTCACTCACACCCCAGGGCCTGGGCATAGCCCGGGCCCTCCACCCTCCAGCCTGTGATGCCATCTCCCTTTCCACGAAATCCTGTCTTTTCGGGTCCAGTGTGAACGCTGCGACCTGCTCAAATCTCTCTGCCCCACTCCGTCCTCACTCAGACTCCCACTGTTTCCTGAGTGCACCCCCACGCGGCTGCCCCTCTCTCCTAACAGGGCCCCTGTGCTCTGTTCTCCTGGTAAGGTTCTCCAGGTGGCACACTGCACCTCCCAGGTGCGGAGGACAGGGACCAGAATCCAGGAGTCCATCCCGCACACACGGACTGACCACCTCCACCGTCCAGGCCCTGCGGGGATCTGGACTGCTTCCCTTTCCCAGCCCTCCCCGCCCCGTCCCCCCTCCTGTCTCTCCACCGCCCCTACCACGGAGGCCACCTGGGCCCAGGAGAGTGTCCCCTTTCCACACCCTGGCCCCTCCCTGGTCCTTGCTCCTTCCTGCCCCCTCCCCTGGGCAGACCCAGATGTCCTCTGAGGACCCCCAGCCACAGCACCCTGGGTGTGGTTTCCAGCGCAGAAACTGGCCACTTCTCCAGAGGGGCTCCAAGGCTGAGAGGGTCCCCAGTCACCAGGGTCTAGTCTGGCTTCCCACTCCCCAGGCCACTCCCAGCAGGACACTTCTCCTGGGAGAGGGGCTCAGACTGTCACAGGAAGCAGGAACCAAAGGTCACGGTCAGGGGCTCCTTCCTTAGGGGACCCGATTGGAGGGCAGGGGCTCTAGGCTTCCTTTCCCCCTTTGGGGACCCGACTACAGCTGGATCACTCGGAGACTCCACTGGGAAGGCCACTGGGGACTCGCAGAGCAGAGCCGGGCGGGGCTCCGCGCACGAACCGGCAGCGCACGGGCCAGGAATCAGCGGGCGTCCGCACCCCCTCCTGCAGCTCCAGCCGGAGCCGCCCAAACCCCAGCCGCCGCGCTCCGCTCCGCTCCAGCTTGGGCAGTCGCGGGCGGCGAGGGCCGGCGGTACCTGTCAGCAGCTCGATCTTGTGCCCCAGCACCTTCATCGCGGCGCCCGGCGCTGCCCGGCTCGGGGGACCCAAACGCGGGAGGCGAGGAGCGAAGTAGTCGGAGAGCGAGGAGCGGAGGAGGAGCAGCAGCCGGAGCCAGAAGTGCTCTCGCCACCGCGCCCCCCCCCACCATGCCGCGCTCCCCCCTCCAAAACGCTTTTAAAAATCCACCAATTGGACGACCGCGCACCCCTAAAAGGCGCCCGCCGCCGCCACCTGGTCGGGGTGAGCTCCGGGAGGCGGAGGGAGCGCGCGGGGTGGATGCGGCGACCGCCGGGAGGCGACAGGAGGGGGCCGTGCGCCCGCCGCGGGAACAAAGAGGCCCCGCCACCCGGGTGTCGGGGTGGGGGCGGGGGTCGAGGGCCCCCTCCTGTCGCCTCTTGAGTGACGCCTGGGTCGTGGCCCCGGAGGTGTCCGACGGGGAAGGCCAAGGGGGAGAGACGGGGTGCGGTGGGGGAGGAGAGGGTGCCGCCCTCGTCGGCGAAAGGTGGCCCCCGGGTGCGGGAGCTCGGCTCCCGTGGTCTGGGGTCCTGCGCTGCGGCTGCGCCGGGGGGTGGGGGGGGGGGTGGCTGCGGCCGCAATGACAGAGGGACAAGGGCGGCGCCAACTCACCGAAGGCGTTGTGGGCCAGACAGACGCGCAGGGGGGAAGCCGAGTCTCGCCGCCGCCGCCGCCAACACGCGGATGCGGGTGCGGGTGCGGGTGCGAAGGCCCCGCGCCCCTCAGCCGCGCGCAGCTCCTGGGGGCGGAGGCCGGGCGGGGGCGGGGCACCGCGAGGCGTGCCCGCGTGGGCGTGGTGGGTGGGGGCGCTCGGCCCGCGGGGCTTGGCAGGTCCTGGGAGGCCGTCCCGGGTGCTCAGGGCCCGCCCGCAGCCACAGGGGGAGGGCAGATGGGCGGATGGGCAGGCAGGCGGGCGACACCGGATTCTAGCGGAGATCCACCCCTCCCTCCCGCTCCTCGTCTCCTGCAGGCGCGCAGAGGAAGGGTCCCCGGCGCTCGGACTCAGCAGGGTGCTGTGTGTGCGGGGGGGGCCGCACGCAGCCTACGATCCCCTTGCAGCCGCTCGGCGTCGGGTTCCCGGGGGATGGGGCGGCCTCCGCCTCCGTCTTTGTTTAGATGACCGAGGGGAACCCCAGCCGGGAGGAGGCAGCACCCCTCCCCCACCCCGCCGCTGCCTGGGAACCGCAGGGGGAAAGCCCTGGGGGGTCAGGAAGAACCGGGCGCTCAGGGGCCGGGTCTTCAGAGCGCTAGCTAGGGTTTCCTTGGGGAGCTCACGCGGGAGTGACCATCTCCAGGCAGATGTTGTGGGCCCTCAGCTACCCGCTCTCCCCACTCCGCCCCCTTCCCGGTAGGACAAGGTCCTTGATCCCCTCAAGTTCTCTTCCACGGTCAGAGCGGGCAAGGGACCTGGGGGACCCTGTCTTCCTCGGGCTCACTCTGGTCGGGCCCAGGGGCGTGGCTGCCACCTGCCACCCTAAAGGAGGGAGCACTAAAGCCCCTGGATAAAGCAAAGCCCCCGAGGTAGGGAGAATGGAAATCCGACGACCTGAAAAAACGGACTTGGGCACCAGTTCAAGAGGAGCGCGCCTGGGGCCCGGGTCCTAATCAGGCTCCGCCAGGGACCTTGGGCGGGGCTCAGCCCCTCCCGGATTCCAGCCTTTTTTTTTTTTTTTTAAACCTCACCCTACTATATATCTGTGTATGTTTTCTACTGATTTTAGAGAGAGAGGCATCAATCAGCTGCCATTGCCTCCCTTACGGCCTTCAACCGGGCCTCGAACCCACAACCTGGGTTTGTGCCTGGACCAGGAATCAAACCTACAACCTTCTGGAGTACAGGGCAACACTCCAACCCACTGAGCCTCCTGGCCAGGGCTCTAGCCTTTGGGCCTACTTGGACGGGCTCCTCTGGGAGGTCTGGTGTGGCAGAAGAGCGGGAAGCTAGAGAACTCTGCAGTGCCCCCCCACCCCCACCCCTTCACTTGGGCTGCTTAGTGGTGAGACGCGGGAAGCTGCCCCGGCACTGAACTGATGGGATCACCGATGTTGGCTGAGGAAGCCAGAAAGATCCGGTGGCCCAGATGGAGCCAGTCCTCAAGAATACGGGCTGGCTCTACGGCTTCCTGGCTGTGTGATGTCCAGTGGGTTCCTTAGCCTCTCTGAGCCTCCGTGGCACACCGGGTGAAGGTGGGATGACGCCGACCTCTCAGGGAAGTGAATGACAGCACCTAAAGAAAGTGCTCAGCATAGTGCCGGCCGAGGGCTGTCATGTTCAGCCAACAGCCGCCTTTGTTACTGATGAGGAGACTGTTACGGCGTCAGAGAGGTTTTCAGGCTCTCCTGAGTTCCGCCCTTTTCAGTGACTCCAGACCTAGTCATTGAACGCAGCAAAGTGTTGGTGTTCCGGTGACGCGATTCCCGGGGCCCGGCCTGTCCTGAACTTGTCTGAACTTAGGCATCCCCGGGAGGATGCGTAAGGTTGCCATCCAAGTACTTGGAAACTGTGACCCGTCTGTCTATGTGTGGAACAGTGTCTGCCATGGCCTTGAACTCCTACAGGCACCCCCCTTGGCTCAGATAATTCCCACACCCCCAGGGAGTGCTCAGGTGAGCGAGGCTGCGGATTTGAACCCTAGAAGTGGAGACAATAGATGATGAAGTGATGTGGCTGCAAGAACAACCTCACTTCCGGGGGCCACTGCAGCAAATAGAGGAGCTGAGGAAAGGGGCAGGGAGAAGGGCCCCCAGCCCTTTCTGCAGGGCGGTGGCGCCTGGGAGTGGGGACTCCCCTAGCAGCCAGCGAAGGGTGAGCTCTCAGTCCCTCCTGCTCCGGCTCTTCATCCCTGCAAAGGGGGCGTGGTGCTTGGGGACAGGCTGGACGGCAGGGTTTTCAACAGGAGAAAGCAGAGCAGGACCCAGGGCCCCGTCACGGGCTGGGACTTGTCCTGCAGCCTTGCTCCTAATTACCATATCTTGTCGTGTATAATGTGCGCTTTTGGCCCGTATTTTTGAGGGAAAATTAGATGCACATTACATGTGGGTGGTGCCTAAAATACCTTGTATCTGTCCTTGTGTTTTGTAATTATTTGTTACCTAAAATTTCTTGTACTGGATGTTCAAAAATAAATGCTAAAATCCCTTTATAATACAAAAAAAACTAGTATCTGCATATAAATAAATAATTGAATTAAAAAATTAAAATGAAAGATGTTTTCCCTGAAAGTTTGGACCAAAACATGGGTGCACATTATACACGGCCACATACGGTGCCTGAAAGATGCTACCTGTGTCGCTGCCTTCTCCGCACTTCCCTTCTCCCAGGTGTAAAATGGGCCAGAGGTCGGCCTGCTCCTCACCTGGAGAGGAGACACAGCCTCTCTGAACCTTTGTCTCCCGTCTGTGAAACTCAGGCCAATATGGCAGCCTGGATAGTCATGGCACATAGTGGACCTCCTCTAGCTAGGTTAGGCAGACAGGGGCTCTGGTAGAAGGAGGGCGGGCAGCTCTCAGGACCTCAGGAGTCATGGCCAATGCTGCAGGTCTGGTGTCAAAACTACTCCTGCCGTCCCTGGGCACAGATGCTGCAGCTGGCAGCACCCCTGGGCAAGGAAGGGCACAGTGCACTGCCGTCGGGACCACAGCGGCCTCTGGGGCCCGTGGGGTGCTGCCCCCCAGGTGGCATCCTTGCCTGAAGTGGGATTCTGTGTGGTCTCGGCTTCCTCGTGTTGCCAGTGTCTAACTCACAGGCAAGAACGGGTGTGTCTGCATTTGGGACAAACTTGGATGGATCTAGGGAGGATTATGCTAAGAGAAACAAGGCAGACGGAAAAGGACAAGAACCGTATGGTTTCACTGATATGTGGGCTATAAGACAAACAACAACACGTGAACAAACTTGTAGGTACAGACAACAGAATGGTAGTTACCACAGGGGAGGTGGGGTGGGGAGAAAGAAGAGGGTAAAGGGGGTCAAAGACAAGGTGAAGGAAGGAGACTAGGCTTCCGGTGGTGGGCACACAATGGGGTACACAGATGTCGTATGAGAAATACGACAAAAATTTATATAATGTTATTAAGCAAAGGTACCCCAATAAATTTAAGTTTAAAAAAAAGAATGGTGTGTCTGATTGGAGGCGCCCACAGCACGCACTCTGCCAAAGCTGCAAGGGAGGCGGGCAAAGGGATTCTCAGTTCCTTTAGAGGAATGGGGGCCCCGCCCCATGGGAAGGGCTTGTCAGACGCTGGTGGCTAAAGAGTGACCCGTGCCATGAGCTTGTTGGGAAGCCACTATGAGGTGATGCACGTGGGCCATCAACGTGGAGCCTGGCACGGAGGGAACACGAGATCCCAGGTCGCTGAGATTCGTGACACACCACACATCTGGTGCCAGCCAGCCATGCTCCTCCACACTCCAGTCTTCGTCCTGCCAGCCGGTGAAACACAAAAGGACCTTGAAGAGAGGGTGGCATGTGCTGCCCTTCCAGATGTGGAGAGCTCTGGTCCCAGTGCCAGGAGGACAGGTGACTGGGTTTTTCCATTGTGATGATGAATTGGGCTGAGTCACTGTCCCTCTCCAGTCCCCTCGTGACCATGACTGAGAGCAAATAGAAAGACCTCGCAGGTGGAGTCGGAGAGCAGCTGAGCCTGGGGCCATGGAAACTTCCTCTCCTGGCAGGGTTGGGGGTGGCAGGAGCTGTCCCCTCTCTCCTCCAGGAACGCTCCCCCTCTCTCTCATCCTGAGTCTCATAGCCCCTGGGGCAGCAGTGGATCATTTCTCTTCTTTCGTAGGGTGGGTTGAGTACCTCTTCGGTGCTAAGCCCTGTCTGGGCTGGGGGGGTGCACTGGAAAATCAGAGCTGACCAGGACATTGACCTTGCCTTTAGGGGTTATGCCTGGATGAAGGAAACCAGCATTGAGTCCCATGACATGGAGACTGGGCAGACGCTGCTAACCTGTGTCCCTGAGGTTCCAGTTGGGGCCTGCAGAGGCCAGCAAGGGCTTCCTGGAGGAAGAGCCTGCAGGAGGGGGGGAAGGGAAGGACTGGGTGAGAGTACCATCCACCCACCCACCCACCCACCCACCATCGTACACTGGGTCAGCCAGTTCCTGTGCTGAGCTGGGGAGGTGTGGGGCTTTGTGCCCTGTGCCCTGCACTAGGAGCTCCTGGGTGGGGGTGGAGAAGGCTGGGCCTGCCCCAGCGGAGGGAGAGCAGGCTGGAATGAGGAAGTGAGCAGGGCTGAGTGCGGGCCCCTCCGTCTGGCTCTGGAATTTCGGCAATCACCAGATCGCGTGCCCCCGCTCCCGGGCCACCTTGCTCCACTCACAGGCTGCGTTGCCACCCCCTTGCTCCTGGCACATGTCGGATCCCCCTGGCGCAGAAGCAGCCCTTTGCTCTCCAGGTAACCACAGACACCCCGCTTTCTCCTCCCTCATCCCAGAGGATAACAGAACCGCCTCCGGTTCCCTTTGAAAAAGCCCCTTTATCTGCCCAGGAAGCTTCACCAGACAGTCTCTCGCTCCCACCGGCTGCCCTCTGCCCTATCCTGACGCATTATTTATGGCCCATTACTCACCTCCTGCAGGCGCCCAGATGCTGCCTGCCAGAGCCGTGACCTTGCCGTGTCCCCTGGAGAGGACCAAGGGCAGCTCCTTCCTCCTCACCTTCCATTCTTCCCTCCCCTCCCCCTTGCAGCTTCTTTGGATGCCAGCAGACTCCTGGTGTGTGGCACAGCCTGTCCCCTCTCCCCACCCACGGGGACCACCATGTGAGTGAGCAGTTCCCTCCTTCTTTGCCAGGCCAGCTGCCCCGCTGTGGCCTGCTCCCACTTCCCCAGCACAGCAGCCACACCAACAGCTGCATTTCAGTATCTCCCGCAGCCCCACATGGCCCCGGCTCCAGTGGCCAGGGTGTGTGCCCAGGTGTGTGTCCGGGTGGGTGTGCCTGTGTTGTGACAGGAGGGCATGTGTGGATGTCATACACGGGGAGGGACTTGAGTGGCCTCTTCTGAGTCTTGTACCCACGAGTGCACCAGGTAAGGATGGGCTTCCTCCTCGTCACCGCGGGAACCGAGAGGAACTTTTAGGTCTAGAGTTAAGGTTGGGAGTAGGACCCACACGGCCCTGGCAGCTGTGTGACATTGAGCAAGTTGCTTACTCTCTCTGTGTATCGACTTCCTCCTCTTTACCTCGCCCAGGCCTTCGGAGGACTCGCTGAGACAGTGCGGGCGAAGCCCCCAGCTCAGGGCCCGAGGGACAGCGAATGCTGGTAAACAGGTTTCGACAAGGCACCTAGTCCTGCCGGGTCTAGGCCAGGGGGGACGAGTTTCCATGTCTCGGGCTCTGGGGAGGCAGGGCGCCTGCAGGGGACCAGCCCAGGGCTGGACAGGCCGGGCTGGCTGGCATCTAGGCAGCATCTGAGACCCTCCTCCTCAGTTTCACAGCCAGGCCAAGCGGCAGGGGCAGGAGGGGAGGGGGAGGGGCAGTTACCAGTTAACAGTCCGAGGTTCGGTTTTACGAGACCAAGAGTTAAGGAGATGGACGGCGGCGATGGCTGCACCCCGTTAGGAATGTAGCGAATGCCCTTGAACTCTACGTGTAAATACCATCAAGACAGTAGTTGTTACATTATGTATCTTACCACGATAAAAAATTTTGAAAAAAATCCACAAATTATCTTACAGCTCCGGAGCTCAGAAGTCCAAATGGGCCGGCAAGGCTGCGTCCCTTCTGCCGGCCCTCGGGGAGAATCCGCTTCCTGGCTCCTGCAGCGTCTGGAGGCTGTTGGAGCTCCCTGGCTTGCGGCCCCTTCCAGCACCGCCCTCTGCTTCCCTTCCACGACGGTCGCCTGCCGCACCTGTGGTCACCCCGCCTCCCTCCCGTAAGGAGCGTTAGGATGAGACTGAGCCCGCCTGGCCATCCGGGAGACTCCCCATCTCAAGAGCCTTCACCTCATCACCCCTGCAAGTCCTTTTGCCTCGTGTGGCAGCCGAGTCACGGGTTCCGGGGAGGAGGATGCGGCATCTTCGGGAGGCCGCTGCTCCGTCTCCATAGTTGCCGGCAGAAGTAGTCGCAGGAGTGCGCGAGTGTGCAGGCGCGGTGGCGTCAAGTACCGGGAACACGGCAACGGGCGGGAGTCCTGGCGAGCAGCATGCGGCCACACCGAGCAGGAGGCCAAGGGCGAGGAGGGATGTCCACGGCGTTTTGAACGAGAGACGCAAATGTCAGAAATTCACCATCGATGCTATCCACAAACATCCTCATGCCTCTCCCCGCTCCCCGGGAGCGGGGAGCGCAGCAGCGAATTAAGCAGGAGGGGTGCAGCCCCTTCCCGCGGAGAATCCATACACGGAAACACACGCGTGCGCGGAGAAGCCTGCGCAAAGCAAACACTGAACGCGCGTCGTGGGAGAGGACGCGCGCCCAGTGGAAGTGATGAAGACTTGCCCTTTTCTCGTGGGGGCTTTGTCAACAAGTGCTTCTGGCTTCCGCTCAGAAGCGAACTAAGGTGCGGTGATTGGCACGAGCTGGCCATCCCGTCTCATCCCATCCCCTGATGGTGAAACCACGCCATCCACAGAACAGCAAGGAGGGAGAAAAGAAAAGAGGGAAGGAGAGCGGGAGAGAAAGGAAGAACAAGCCGACTCCTGTCAACGTGGAGAAGCCAGGGCTTGGGGGGCACTTGCCCACGCCTCCCGTGGAGCAGAGGGTCTCCCCCCCATCCCATTGGCAGGTGCTGCAGACACAAGTCTTCCTGTCCTCTCCTGGGGCACCCAGCCCTGAGCCTGCATGCGGCAGGTGGGCGGGGGGGGCATACTGTGGACCAGCCGAGTCACAGATGGGCGAGCCGGCAAAGGCGGGTGAAGCCCGTCCGGGAGAAGCCAGCATCAGGCCAGGGTTCTCTCTGACCCTGTGACCCCGTCTGACAGCAGCCACACCCACCAGCCTCAGTTCCACCCCCAGGTGCGTCTCCCCTCATTTGTAACCATTTTGGCTCAAAGTCTGGTCCTGCCCAAGCCCCCAGAACTACCTGGTTTATTTGAGAGGTTCCTCGGTTTGAGGATGTGAGTGGAAATGCCAGGGTGCTTATTTCCCCAGGGAGAACTTGTGGTTGGATCCTTTTTTTGCCCTCAGTTGCTACCCCTGAGCTGGCCTCTCTGCCCTCTGCACGCGTCTCTGGGGCTGATGCTTTGTGGCCATCGGGCCCAGGGACCCTCGATCCTGGGCACTGTCATCTCAACCCTGTGAACTAAGTCCCCCCCGGTAAAGACTGTCTCGAAATGGCAACCCGGCAGACAGGCTGTCCGGGAACACGGCCCAGGGACCAACCAAACAAGCCCGTGTCGTCTCGTTTTGCTCTGGGTTCGTACTGTTCCAGGAAAACAGGACGGGACGTGAGAATCCGAAGCAGTCACATGTTTTCCTCTGAGAACAGGGCTCCTCTGATTCCTCACGAGGACGCGGTGAGAGCGCTCACTTCCCTTTAGTGCTCTTGGGCGCAGGTGGACACAGGAAAACATCATTTCAGTTTGTTCTGATTTTCTCCTTAAGCACCTGCTCACCCTTCCTGGACCTGTGGTTGGACAAAATTCAAACTGCTCCCGAGGCGTAGTTTTAGGTGACATGTCCCTGCCCCCTTCCCGCTCTGTCCCCCCTCCTCCCTGTTCCCCCTCACGCACACCCTGGCACGTTTCTGCCCCAGGCCCTCGGGACTTGCGCTGCCCTCTGCCCAGAACACCCCCCCACCTGGTGTTCTCACGTGTCCTCCCTTTCACAGGTCTCTGCTCCGATGTCACCATCTCTGGGAGCTTCCTGGACCACCGTCCTTAGAACTGCAGCCCACCCCATCCCATCACTCCCGGCCCCCACCCCTGCTTTATTTTTCTCCGTGGCACTTTCAAATAGATCACTTCCTTATTTTGTGTGCTGTCTACCTCCTTCCTAAGGTGAACCCCACGAGGGCATGGATTTATTTCCATTTGCTTGACACCGTAAACCTCGTCCTAGAATAATGATCGCATTATGTATCCACCATCTCATAAACATGCTAATGATTCCACCCCGCTCTTCCACGTCTAGGAGTTTATCCCTGGGCGGTAATTGCAGATGTGTACAAAGATAGAGTTAGAAATGTTACAAAAGCCAAGCACTGGGAATAATAAGAGCTGACATTTAATTAGCACTTACCATGTGCCAGCCCCTGCTCTAAACATTTTATGCATGCAAATGCCTTAACCCTCAAAACCACCCCACCACCCACCCACTGCTGTCTGGATTTTATAAGTGAGGGGATAGGTGGAGGGACTAAAGGCAGTACAGCCAAGATCTGATGTGGGGCCCATATTCTTGACCACCAAGCTGTGCTCCAGCCATTGAAAATGATGGAATATTTTGGTGGGGGTGTGGAGGGGGCCGGCCATGCACCCCCAAATTGTACACAAATTGTGTGATCATACGCATCCCTGAGAAGCAGCTGGTTTTATCAGATTCTCCAAGACCTCCAAGAGCCAGGGTTGTAGAAGAATTCTTCTACATAAATAAATCTGTGTGAACATGCCCCACTCGTGGGTTGCCACTGTCTTTAAGAAAAGATTCTTGTAGCTTCCCTCCTTCCACATAAGCTTTCCACTCTTGCCCCTAAACCACATGACAAGCTAGAAGGTCACATGGAAGAACCTTTAACGACTTGGAAAGATATTTGTGACACAGAGTTACCTGCAAAAAACAGGTGTTTAAAAAGAGTATACAGTTTGACCACATTTTCATAAAAATTTCACATGTTACAAGACTTAAATAAGTAGATTATATGCAAAAAGCTGTATTTTCAGGTGATGGAATTACAAGTGGTTTTTTTTATTTCTTTTCTGGTCTTGTTTATATTCTTTACATTTTTTTGCAAGAGCATAAACCACTTTTGCAATTAAACAAACTTTTTTTTTTAAGGAAAAGGGCAGCTTTTGGAGCGATAATTTGGTAGTAGTAGCACTGTGGAAATCGTCGACAGCTCAAACCCTCAGGGAAGCTGAGCGGTCACATAAAATATGACATCTCCATGTCAGAAAAATGATGCGGCTGTTAAAAACAACAAAGAAAACACCAGGGTAGGCGGATCGCTGACAAGATACACAGTGAGATAGAAAAAGGGGCCACAGAACGGAGTGCGTGACGAGGCCCAAGTACACAAAGGCCGTGTTGGGAGGGCGTCCAGGCCTTGAGAGGGGCCAGGGAGGACGCCCCCTGCGTGGTGGGGCTCCCCGGGGGGCGCACAGGGGGTCACCGCTGGGGGCTGGGGTGCGGGCTGCCAGGGTGCAGGGGCAGTCTGTTCTGGATGATTTAAAGCTTTTACAAGTCTCTGCCTATATGAACGCGTGTTACATAGGCAATCAATTCAAAAGGACATAGTAAAAAATAGGGAAGAGTTTTTAAAAAGCTGCCCAAACCCAAAATGCCCCCTCCCCTATGAAGCTGCTCAAGGGCTCCACGTCCAAGCCGATAGGACCTCTCGGGAAGGGCCACGGATCTCGGTGACACAGTCACGACTGGAACCAGCTCCGTCACCAGCGAGGGGCGTAGGGGATGCAGCCTCCAGGACGCTTTTATGCTCCAAGAGCAATAATGGATTCATCATGGGGAGGACCTTGCAGCGGTGCGGACACTGACAAAAGTCCAGTGGGCAACTGCACAGCCAGGAGGGAGCGTGCGCGTGCCCAGGAGGGAGCGTGCGCGTGCCCAGGAGGAAGGCGGAGGGCCACAGCCAGGCGGTTATGTGAAGTTTGCCGGAACTTGGTTCTCCCCACGGCTTGCCCATGGCAGTGCTGAAGCCGCAGCGGCGCCTGGACCCTCCCATGCTCTCACTCCCCACGCTGTCCTCACCACATCTCCTCTGCTCCCCTCACTTCCTGGCATCCCCACGGCGGCCTGCCGCACCCCGTCCCCCGTGGGGGCACCTTCGGCTGTCACTGCCATTACCACGGCAGCTTCCTAACTGGTCTTCCAAGGCCATGCCTCCGTCTGTGTCTCTGCAGCAGGTCAGAATGGTCTCCCGCCTTTTGGAAAGGTGACTCAGATGGCGTCTCCTCCCTGTTTCCCCGTGGCGATGTTGTCCTTCCCCTGATCTCCAAGCCTTGATAAGATCTGGCCGTTGGCCACCTCTACTGGGTCGGCCAGAAAGTTCGTTTGGTGTTTTCCATATGAGTGCTTAGTCGTCTTTAACTTCATTCAAGACAATTTTCGTGGATTGTTTCATGGCAACTGTCATATCAGCCTGCATTTAAAAATGTATCCCAATGGGTGAATTTTTGTGCAGCCATTTTAATTTTGAAGATGGAAGAAAATGCCTAACATTTTTGGCGTATTATGCTTTATTATTTCAAGAAGGTAAAAACACAACTGAAACACACAAAAAAGATTTGTGCAGTGTATGGAGAAGGTGCTGTGACTGATCAAATGGGTCTAAAGTGGTTTGCGAAGTTTCTTGGTACTATCGACATTTTGGCCAAATAACTCTTTGCCGTGGGCTGTCGCGTGCATTGGAAGAGGTTTAGGAGCAGCCCTGGCCTCTACCCACTGGAAGTCAATAGGGGGAGAGAGCCAACATACTCAAAATATCCAAATCAAGAAAGTAATTCATGCCCTGGCTGGCATAGCTCAGTGGATTGAGCACGGGCTGCGAACCAAAGTGTCACAGGTTCGATTCCCAGTCAGGACACATGCCTGGGTTGCAGGCCACGGCCCCCAGCAACCACACATTGATGTTCCTCTCTCTCTCTGTCTTTCTCCCTCCCTTCCCTCTCTAAAAATAAATAAATAGACTCTTTAAAAAAAAAGAAAGTAATTCATGAAAATGAAAATGTGTTTTCTATTTTGTGGAAAACACGAAACGGACTTTTTGGCCAACCTGACACCCCCACTTCTCACTCCCTTCCCTTGGTCCATGTCTGTGCTTCCAGCCTCACTCGCCTTTCCGTCTGCCACCCCAGCGACCTTGCACTTCCTGCGCCCCTGTCTGTGTGCCTGGCTGCTCCTGAGGCTCCTCGAGGGGTCTGTCTGAAGCACCCCACCCCTGTCACCCCCACACCACATCAGCCTGTGTATCTTCCTCACCATTCTATGCTGAAATCCTCATTTCTACTGGTTTACTCCTGATCTTCCCCACCAGCCAGCCAGCAGTGTTCGGGGCTGTACCCCATGCTGGGTGCTAGTCTGAGCACTTTATAATACAACCCGTTCCCTGCTCCTCTCAACCCTGCAAGGGTTAACCCAACCATGATCATGACCCCATTTTACAGATGAGGAAGGTGAGACCCAGAGGTGAGCCACCTGTTCCAAGGCGGGCACCTCTGAAGTGGTGAAGCGGGGATTCGAACTCGGGTGGCCTCAGCACAGAGCCTGGGCCCTTTCTTATTACACCATCCTCCCTAAAACCAAGAGTGAGCTAAACACCGACCCCTAGTTTACTTTCTGAAGATTTGAACTGGCTTGGGAAGCAGCCCAGGAATTTCGCTGGTTACAGTGGTGTAGGACAGCCAACCCCACGGGACTCTCCCGCCCCCAAGCTCCTACTGCCTGCAGCAACTTGGAGGACATGGTTTGACCTGTTTTTCCCCCAGATCTGGGATAGAACAGGCCGTACGTAACGGTGTTCCACCGCTGTGTTGTCTTTGAAAGCCCTGCAGCGGCGATGAGCTCACTGCCCTTATGTAACTCTCAGCTGGGCCCCGCTGCATGGAGGCCCAGCCCTGACACCTGTGGAACTGAAACTGGCAGCGCCTCTGTTTGCAAAAAATAGGGGACTCAACGCCTATTTGGGTTCTATTTTTATTAAAACCCCATTAACTTGTTTCTATGAGAGCAATTACCATGTCAGGCTGGGAGCTGTGGAGGAGTCAGGCTTTTTTTTGACATGAACAGCTGTTCAGCTGTTTGCAGGAGAACTTTCTTTTCAAAAGGACCCCCTGGGGTTGGCGTCTCAGGCTTGTTCTCAGCCCCAAGGCGGGTTTTCTTAGCAGACAGTTTGGTAACATCCCCACTGCATCGGGGAGGTGGAAGATAACATAATTTCATTAATTTTGCCTGATTTTTGTAACTCTGAACTCGTTTCAAGGCTTCCAGCCTGCTGCAGAGATGGTAATTCCTTTCACACCTTGTAAAAATGTAAGCACCACCCCAGGGCACACGGAGACCAAGCAAGAGGTTTCACTGTGCAGAGCTGGAGGGAGGCCTTGGTGCATCTACCTTTGCCCCTCGGAATCCCTGTGAGCAGGCCCTGCCTGTCCTCCTTCCAGGCCTGGGAGACGCGGCCCCTGGCTGCACTGTGCCCCCTCCACACGACTCTGCATTTGAACGCCGGGGCACGTTCTGGAACCGCCCAGCTTGCTGAGGAGAAAGTCCGATCTCGTCTTCGGCAGGGCTGGGGTGCAGGCCACTGCCCAGGCTTTCTGCTCCATATCAGCGCGCGGTCCAGCCCAGCCTCCGGCCAGCTCAGCGTGTGCTTCCAGAGGCCGGGCATGGCTGCCCTGTGGCGTTCATGCCCCCTCCCGGGGGCCATGGAGAGAACAGGTGCGTGCACTGTGTGAGTGGGAGTCGCAAGCAAGAGAGAATTTAGTTCTCATGGAGCCCCTGGGCGAGTGCATCGATGTTTGTGTGTGTGTGTGTGTGTGTGTGTGTGTGAGAGAGAGAGAGAGAGAGAGCGTGCGAGCCCTGGGATGATGACCAGGAGCTTGGGTGTGAGATGGACCAGGTGCTTTCTCAAAATGACCAACCAACTTCCCAAACTCTCTGATGCTCCTATGCGCCTCCCCTTGAACCCCCAAACAATCCAGTACCGGAGTGGGGAAGGGAGGGGTGTTAACCCCCTTGGCAGAGCAATGCTGTGGTCCCCTGGAGTATGAAGCTGTAGCTTCCCGGCTAGCAAGCAGGCTCATGTTCTCCATGTTATTAACCTCAGTGTCTAGTTCCCTTTGCTCCCCTTTTCCAGCCAAAGACTGCCGGTGGCAATGCTTGCTGCGCCATAATTCAGACAGGCCTTCCGTAAACGCACGGTTTAAAGAGGCTGCCCCCAGCTCCCCTTCACACGTCCTTTACTTCCCATCACAGGGCTTGGTGCAAGCGGGTCTGATGCCCCTTGAGGGAGCCGACTCCACAGGGGCAGGGAGGAGGAGCCATCCGCTCCTCACTGCGGACCCCGCGCCCAGCACTGGCACACACTAGGCCGTCCCTGGAGACCGGAAAGAATGGGATTAGTTTCTGCGCTCAGTGAAATCCGCGTCCGAAGGGGCTGGACACCAGCCAACCTCGTCCTGTGGGCTCTTCTTTCTGCAAACCTCCCTTCCACCAAGCCAACCAGCAGCCATCTGGCACTTTGTTCTGAGCAAGGGGTGGGGCGGGGATGCAGGGAGGCAGGGGGAGTTTTGGGAACGGCCAACACTGTAGATTGGACACATCTAATCAAACCCAGAGGGCTGCACTGTGTTCCCTGGATTGAGGTGCCCAGATTAAATGGGCCAAGGGCCCCTGGGGCGAGAGGCCATGCGAAATAACTTTTCAAAAATAGCAAC